CCCAACACCCCCCCCAACACACACACACACGCACACACACACACACACAGAAAACACACACACACACACTGCACACCAACATGCACACACCGCAACACACTGCACACCAACACACAGCCCTGTGAATGCATATGCAGGCTCACAGGCTCACCTGAACCACACTGCATGTGTACAGTGTGCATACACAGTGTGTGTACATAGATGTAGAATGCACCCAGACACTGAGTGTACCCACACATAGTGCACACAGGGTGCCTGTATACACAGAGTGCACCACACAAACCGACATGCCACATGTGTGCACTCAAGGTGGGCACATATATACAGCGTGCACCACATAGGTATGCTGGACTTGTCCCACTTGCACATCACTGCTTGCCTGCCGCAGCTGTAACCAGATTGGCTCTTCAACACCCAAACATGTGCATACTGCCTGTAGTAGTTATGTTCTCTGGTGTATGTTTTTTGGGAAGGACCTGGTGGCAAACGGCTGCAGAGAGCAGGGCCGCAGTGAACTTCCCAAAGAGGCTGTGATGCCACACTTGTTTTTTTCCTGCTAGCTGTTAGCAGGCAGTGCTTGTAGCCAGGTGCTGCTGCCTGCCACGGGGCCTGCACACCCTCATCCCTCAAGCAGAGCATTCAGCAGGGGTCTATTGGGGGTGTCTGATCCCAGCTTCTGCCTCCCCTCCTGCTTGGAACCCCCTGTGTTGCCCCACCCCAGAGAGGCCACCATGCCCAGCACCCGGAACCAATGACTCTGTGACATCAGCCCCGGGAACAAGGGCACCGTGGACAACGTGACTACTGCGGGCACTACGTTGGCTGCCGCACTGGTGGCAACAAGCCCTCGGTTCTTGCAGCTGCCAACTGCCACTAGCAGCGATGAATTTGCTCCCCCTCCTTGTCCTGCTGGCCATGTGCTGGCCTGCACACAGCACATGGGACAACTGTGGGTAAGTGGGCCAAGGCTCTGGGAGGGAGCTTGGGCAACCCTTTCAGGGTTCACTGGAGGGTGCCCGCTTGTCCCCCGTGGCCACACCACAGCTTCCCGAACCCCATGTGGGAACCTCAGTTCCTTGCCAGCACCCAGGCTGCTGGGACAACTTGTCTACGGGGCTAAAGCAGAAACAGGGGTGGACGGACGCATGCCCCACAGGGTTCCCTGGCCCTGCTGTCCATGCAACACCTTGTGGGGAGGGAAGACGGCTGACCTTCAGCCTGAACAGCAGCAAGCCATCGAGCAGGACAGTAACGAGTTTCTGGTTACAGAGGGACCTGCGGGCTCCGGCCCATGGCTTCTCACTATGGCATGTCGCGCGTCGTGGGTGGCACAGATGCCCAGCCAGGGGCCTGGCCCTGGATCGTCAGCATCCAGGATCCCTGGAAAATAGGCACGGGGCATATATGCGGAGGGTCCCTCATCAGCCCACAGTGGGTCCTCACAGCAGCCCACTGCTTCATCGAAGCCAGGTAAGGAGGACCAGGGAATGGGGATATCCCCACAATACTAGCAGGTGCCCTGTCCGCAGCACCACATGCTACTCCCATCCCGTTTCTTTGGAGTACACCCAGTGCCTGGGCACGCCAGAGCCCAGCTGAGAGACTGCTCAGGAGAAGGCTGGGCTTGTGCCACTGCTTCCTAGCAGCCTCCAGCTCGACATTCCTTGTGCCTAAGGCATGCTGGGGCCATCACACCCTCCGTAGCACTGCTTTCCTCTCTCCCTTGTGAAGCAGAAGGCAGGGAAGTGCTGGGCTGCTGCAGCACATGGCTCCGCTCCCTCTGACCCCTCTCTCCATCTGCCTTCCAGGCACATCACAATGTGGCGCGTGGTGATTGGGGCCACCCAGTTGACTCAGCTGGGCCCTGAGGCCCAAGTGCGCAATATTAAGCGGCTACTGGTTCACGAACGCTATAGTAATATCTCGGAGAGGAACGACATTGCATTGCTGGAATTGGACCAGCCTGTCCAGTGCAGCTACTACATACAACTTGCCTGTGTGCCTGACGCCTCGCTGAGAGTGTCAGAGCTGACAACCTGCTACATCAGTGGTTGGGGTTCCACGACTGCAAGATGTGAGTTCCCAAAAAGTACTCGTGTCCTGAGTGCAAGCTTGGCACACTGGGGAGGTGGGTTGGGCTTCCTGACAGCAGAGGCAAAAGTCAGAGTCAGGCTGTGGGGATGTATGCCTACAGAGAGATGGGCCTGACCCCATTACCCAAAGCAAGACAGAAGGGAAACACCGGTACAATGCCTCTCAAGATGCAAAGCCAAGCCCTAGGGAAGGGGTTCACCCAGACAGGGGAGGAGAACTGGCAACGAGCTGCTGGATGTTAACTCCTTTCTGTGCTCACAGCTGGACGATCAACTGATGTCCTGCAGGAGGCCAAGGTCCGTCTCATTGATGTCAACCTCTGTAACAGCAGCCGGTGGTATAGAGGGGCCATCCACACTCACAACTTGTGTGCTGGCTATCCGCAGGGTGGCATTGACACCTGCCAGGTAGGAGCATGCTACAAGTCAACCCCCAGCAGCACAGGCAGCCCTGTCACAACCGCCCAAACACACCCCGGCATGTACTTTGCCTGGCAAGTGACCCTCCCACCGCTGGGTCCCCACCGCTGTTGGGGCTCACCTCTCCTTCCCCATCTGCAGGTCCTTGCCCAGTGCCTCCCTTGTCCCAGAGGCCTGGGACTCTGCCCAGAAAGCCCATCCGGTGCTCTTGGCAGCCCATAGGTCCAGATCCCAATCCTGGAACATCTGTCTTCCACACATCCAGGATCACTGTGCAGAGATGAGAGAGCCCTACCTTACAGGCCCACGACCCCCTCCCAGATAAGGTTCTGTAAGCTCCAGCACCTGAGCAGAGCCTTTCTGAGCAGTGAATACAGCTCCAGCAGGTGCTTTGAGAGAGAACGAGCCAGCCACAGTGCTCACAGTGGCCACCCAGCATCACTTTAATCCTCTCTCCTCCACTGCAGGGTGACAGTGGTGGTCCTCTCGTGTGCAAAGACAACAATGCTGACTACTTCTGGCTTGTTGGAGCAACCAGCTGGGGGAAAGGCTGTGCGAGAGCAAACCAGCCGGGAGTCTACACCTCCACTCAGCACTTTTATGACTGGATCCTGGTACAGATGGGATTGCACCCAGAAGTAAGGGCTACTCCAGCATCACGGGCATGGAGTCATTTTCTCACCGCCTCAACCCCCTTTCAGAGGCCAATACCAACACAATCGGGGAGGTTTACACCCTGCCCATTTCCACGCCAGAAGCTGGTGGAATTCTTTACTCGGGTGCAGGAGCTCCTGCAGGTCCTAAAGGGAAAAAAGGCTTGAGCAGCAGGATGAACAGGATCCAGTGCAGGCTGCAGTGTACCACAACCATTTCCTTCTGGGGCAATGCCTGCTGATCCAAAGGCAGCCTCAGAGTCAAAGGCCTGCTCTGTCCTGCCCATGCTCCTCTGAGTGCACACAAATGCTGAAGTTGACTTAGTTCTTGAAATAAAGTTGCCAATTTTCACAGCTAACCAAGCTTCAGTCCAATTCAGTCTCCTGTGCAAGGCAAGGACTTCATGCCTGGCACCTGCAAAATGAGGCTGCAGGTAGACGGGAAATAGTCACTCAAGAGGGCTGAAACCATGCCTGGTCAGAGAAGAGGGTGCTCAGAGCTACCATGGGGTGGAGAAGACTGGCACACTGAGGCTAGAAAGAAGATATGAAAAAATGATGTGACATGCAGACAGCTTTGGGGGTATGCATTAAGGCACACAAGCTGATGATTAGAGCCTGGCATAAGCCTTAGCTAACTGAACAGACCATGGGAAACTCCCGAGTATGACAAGAGAAATTGCTGACCATAGCAACTAGAGTTAGAAGCTGACAGGAGTTACAGCGCCATGAGGAAGAGCCAGATTTCACGGGTAGTTAAGGGGGAATGATGTGAGAGGTGGCCACACTTTACAGATAATTGAAGGAAGAGTTGGGGTCATTTTTGGGAGAGGAATCTGGCAGGGACAGCAGTACCCAGGAAAACACATCAGTAATGCCATGGAAGTCCAAGATGACCTACCTAACAGCACCTGAAACACAAAATCTGTTTACAGATGTGGCAAACCTGGGAGCAATGGCAGGGGGGCGGGGGGAATAACCTGGGGTAGGTCCCTTGTCTGGGAGGAGACAAGGGCAGAGAAAGGGAGGAATCAAGGAAGATGCTGCCATCCTGGCTTGTGGGAAGCAAGATGCTGGGAGTCTGTTACAGACCACCCAACCAGGATGAAGTGGTGGATGAAGCATTCTACAAGCAGCTGGCAGAAGTCTCTCAATCGCTAGCCCTTGTTCTCGTGGGGGACTTCCAACTTCCCGGACATCTGCTGGATATACAACATGGCAGAGAGGAAGCAGTGCGTGGGTCCAGAGGCCTGACTGCTAGCAATGGCAGAAGGGAACACAGGTCATAGGGACCCAGCGGTTGGAAACACCAAGTGTCTAGGGCCAGCTACTGGTGGGAGTGCTGTGTGTGTGAGCAATTCGCTAGTGAACTTGAAGCTGGACTAGCTCACGAGCAAGAGGAGAGAGACACTTTCAGTCATGTGGATGGCATACGGTTGCAGCCCACCTGATTGATGAGCCCCAGTATTCACAGACTTTACAAGAAGACCAGGCCTGCCAACCACAGGCCACATCTCCACCTCCTGAGTCATGAAGGACTTTGAGGTGCTTGAGCATGCATACCCTCAGCTGCTTCCCACCTAGGCATGTTCCCTCTGCACTAGCTGCACAAGGTCCTGCCTCTGAAGCTGCCAGGACCATCCATCCCATCCTCCTCTTGCTGTGCTCTTGGCCCCTGGCAAGGTCTGTTCCCACCCAGAGGTGCACAGCATGCCTCCAGCTGAGTTGGGATCTCTGGACACTGGGGCACGCCCTTTGCTTCATCTTGATCATGGTTTGAACGGAGCTGTTCTGGCTCTGGAGATGATGCTATATCATGGTCCCTCCATGAACAAGTCAGGGTTTCTGTAAAAAGGCCTCAGCTTGAACATCCCACACAGAGCACAGGGTCCACTGACCTACACTCCTAGCAGGGCTGGTAATCTCCCCAGCCCACAGTTTGCTACCCCAGCACTCCATTAGTCAGAGGCATCACTGAGCCAAAGCTGCAGGGTAGCTCTAAAGCTGAGCTTGGTTAGTTGGGGGCAGGGGGAGTCTGGTGGGTTGGGATAGGGTTCCAGTGTGGAGCAACTGAAGGGGATGGAGCAGCAAGAGGCTAGGAGCAGTGGCAGCAAGAAGGCTTAGGAGTGCAGTTTGGTATGCAGCAGGGCTGCAGGGCGGGATCCCTGCCCTTCCTGATCTGGCTTTCCCCAAACTCCATGCGCTGTTCAAAAAGCACTTTCTGCAGTTTGATCTCCTTCAGGACTTGCAGAACCTCCGGCCCTGCACCACTCTGCAGCAGATCATAGTTCTCGGCTGGGTCTGACTCCAGGTCAAAGAGCAGCGGGGGCAAGTGAGGGGTCAGCGGGGTCAGCCCGTGGCAGGCCTGGTCTGGAGTCGTATCACTGTGAAAGGAACCTGCAAAAGAAACTCCTAGGTGTAGCTCAGTTTTTTCTCTTTGAGCTTTGGACAGCAAAACCATACGGGACTTCACAAAGCTGCCCGTGCAGAGGAGAGGAGGCAGCACTAACCTTGTGTGAAGTAATGGGCCTTGTACTTCCCAAGTCTGACAGCGAAGGGGCCATGCAGTGGATCGGGGGATGGCGGATAGAAGAACATCGTCTGACGGGGACTCTGTGGGAAGCAGCAGAGCTAAGTTCACCGGTGCAGCCGCAAGGCTGAAAAGCCTGAAACAGGACCAGGCAGAAACTCCAGGGAGTCACACAGAAGCCCCAATACTACAGCCAGAACATGGCCAGAGAGGGGGGAAGCTGACGAGCAGCAGCATCCTGTTTGCTCCCTACTCAAAGCTACTGGGGCTCTGTCCATCCACTACAGCCATGGGGGTTTGGCTTGGCAATATGTTGCAGGTGTTAGAGCTGAGCAGCTTGGGGAAGCCCAGGAACTCCATGGCATGACCCAGGCCAGACAAAAGGTCCCAGCTCATGGATCTCCCCTGACCCCCAGCTGGTTCTACTCATCAGGCACACAGCTCCAGCCCCACACCCAGCCTTCATGCACAATGCCAGCTGAACCAGCCCACAGGACTCACCTTCCCTGACCCAAACAGCACCGGACTCAGGTCATAGCCATCCAGGGCAACTTTCGGAAGGTCATAGCCATCCAGGGCAACTTGCGGAAGAGCTGCTCCAGCCAGTGTAGTAAGGGTTGGCAGGATGTCCAGGGTGCTTGCCAGCTCATGTGTCACTCCTGTCACCCACCAGACCAAGGCACAAGGAAAGGTTCAAGCACCTGATCCCACTCCCATCCCTGCCATCCTCACTTCTCTCCCCGCTCTGCTTGTCCTGGGGCAGCCAAGCCGCCATGACACTCCTGCCTTGGCTGGCATCAGCATGCAAAAGGCACAAGCAGTGCCAAGTCTCACCTGGAGTGATATGGCCTGGCCAATAAGCCACTGCTGGTTCCCGCATGCCACCTTCATATGTTGTGCCCTTCCCACACTTCAGAAGGCCAGAGCTGCCTCCACGTGCCATCCGCATGGTGGAGGGGCTGTGAGAGAGAAGAACCACCTACCATCAGTTTCACAGGTTCATGTTACCCCTTCCCTGATGCTGCCAACGGGGCCATGACAAGACAGACATGGTGCCAGCAAGTGACACTGCCACCCTTCTCAGCCTTGTGAGGCATGGGGCAGGTGAAGAAACCAAGGTGTGCAAGACACCTAAGCAGGGCACCAGAAACCAATGCCACCCACACACAAAGGGAATCAGGGTATATTTGGGCTGCTGCATGCTCCTGGCCTGAACCCTGTGAGGTTTCTGCCCATGAGGAGGGGCACAGCTGGGTCACAGGAACAAGGAGGCGATAATGCACTGGGTCCTCTCCAGAGCAGCGTCCACCTCTTGCCTCACTTCAGGTCACTGGGGTCTCACCTGGCAATGCCACAACTCATCCCTTTTGCCCCAGCCAACCTACACCTCATTCCAGTTCCCCCATACCATGGCAGCAGAATCTTATCAGTGATGAAGTCCCCCCTGCTGAGCCCACTCACCCATTGTCAGAGGTGAAAAACACCAAGGTTGTGTTTGCAAGACCATTTTCCTGCAGTGCCTGCAGCAGCTGTCCCACCGAGCCATCAAACTCCAAGAGTGCATCACCAAACGGCCCACGCCGTGACTGCCCTGCATACTCCTGGCTTGCAAATTGGGGGTAGTGTGTATGCTGGAGAAAGGGCAAAGAAGACTGCTACGCAAACTCCCCCAGAGCTGCATCTGGTTCCCAATTCACCCAGGGACAGCGAGCACCCCAGCTAGGACATGGAGATATGTGACAATAGCTATGAGATGAGAGGAGGCTTGTCCCCAAGCTTCAGAAACATCTCTCAGAATTGGCATAAAGGAGCTGAGCCCCGGGAAAGGATGTGGGGCCCCAGAGTGGGAAGTTTTCCCGGGTGGACTCCTGGCCCAGAGAAGCGGGCAAAGCTCTAGAAAGAAGCAGCCCAAGAACATTATCAGAACGGTGCTGCCACAAGACCTGGGCATGGGAACAGCAACCCCAGGTCATCCAGGAGCAGGTATTGACTGCTCAGCACAGTCCTGGGGCTGCAGGAGCCGAGGTGCTTCCCTGCTCTCCCCACAGGACAAAGGCTCCCTTCCCCACCCTTGGGCCCGGAGCAGCCCTCCCCCTCTCTTACGTGGGAGGCATAGTAGAGCAGGAAGGGGATGCCTCGTCGGGCACAGTCAGCGATGAAATCCCAGGAGAATTTGTTGTAGA